AAACTGCTCCGCTGCGAAAAGTTCAGTCCTTGCCGCTTCTTGCTGGCGTGCCTTGAAATCACAAATGGCGACCAGGCGAGTAAGCGGTCTTTGGCTTGCCCTTTGCCCACCGACGTAAATATTCGTCCATGGAGCGGGGTAGTGAAAATTTAAGGCCGCGCGGCCCCGACCCACATCCCGCGTGTGGCAGCGGCTTGCAGCGCCAACTTTTTTGAAGTGGCCGTAGCTGTGTTAGAAGGCTCAAGGCACATGCTTTCGACTGGAGTGACTCCCGCCGCACGGCATCAGTATCTTGCCTCTAACTCAACCCAATCATGTTGTGGGCACCTATCCCGAGAAAGGCAGTCATTACTTGTTCCGTTGCGGAGATGCTCCTTTGCTAATTTGCGGTACAACATTCCCCTTTCCTAATCACGAATCCCCTGGGGGCTTGACCTTTGAGCACGGGGAGGCCAATCGTTATGGCCACAAAGCTAGAAGAAAGCACCGATGTGGGCAGTTTAGTGTTCCAACAGCAACTAAACAGCTCCGCAGGCTAGCCAGGGATTTCAATGGAAATGGATGAAAATGTATGCAAGAGCTTTCCTTGCGCTGCGCTGCTAGCTCTTTTCGACGGTGGCAGACATGTGCTGATTCATCATGATATCGTCGCTTTTGATGGACAGCGGGCAGCCAGCGGGTGACGGGCAGCTCGGGAAACGGCCCTTGCTGAGAGAGCCACAGAAACAGAGGGCTCTACCGACCCGTTTAGCATCTAGTTGTTCATCCAGAATTTTTGCATGGAGGAACAACTGGCAACAGCCAACCGACTTCAACTATTTAACCGTCTGACATGCCTTCGCGGGCACAGAACACGTTGCTATGCACTGACGCTCCTGTGGAAAAATCGCGATGACGCACAAGCCGGCTTAGGAACACAGATTGTGCAGAAGGCTGCAGCAGATTGACGCAATTTGACTCAGCCATCTGCAGGGCTAAGCCCAATAGGTGACGGTGGCCATAGTAGGCGTAGCTCGGGCCTTCCCCCAGCTGCGCGGCGCAATGTCGGCAGCCAGTCCCAACGTGGTCCTGGCAGATGACAGGGAAGCGAAGCGCCTAGAGGTGCACAAGAAGACCCGGCTGTGCAAGTTCTTCACGATGGGTGCCTGCACACGTGGCGCGAGCTGTGCTTTTGCACATGGGCCCGACCAACTACGAGATCAGCCAGATTACTCGAAAACCCGGCTTTGCGCGGACTTCGTCGAACTGGGCAAGTGTGTGGAAGGCAAAGCCTGCAAGTTTGCCCACAGCAAGAGTGAACTACGACCCGGCTCAGCGGCCAAAGTGGGCAGGCCAGCCCGGACCTCAAACCATGCGGCCAAGCAAACTGAGAACGAAGCGGAACAAGCGATGCGGGTCCTGCAGACCTTGCGTGCGCAGCGCGCGCTGCACGAGCAGGCAGCTTTGAAACTCATGCTGCAGTCTGCCTGTGCCAGTGCGGCTGCGAAAGTCAGCAAGGCAACGTGCAAGGAACCCACGGAGAAGCCGACGGAGAAGGATGTGGAGTGTTGCTCCCAGGGCAACTCCTTCAGCCGCCAGACCACTTGGGAAGGCATGGAGACTGCGTCCGCGGGGTTCAGCCGCGACTCCTCCGCGGCCAGCGCCTCAGACAACATCGTGTCAGACAGCACCACATTGCCTGATCCTTGCGATGGCGTGGAGCTGCGTGTGAAGAACACCTTTCTCGAAGTCAAGGATGAGACGGAGCAGGAAACTGCTCCGCTGCGAAAAGTTCAGTCCTTGCCGCTTCTTGCTGGCGTGCCTTGAAATCACAAATGGCGACCAGGCGAGTAAGCGGTCTTTGGCTTGCCCTTTGCCCACCGACGTAAATATTCGTCCATGGAGCGGGGTAGTGAAAATTTAAGGCCGCGCGGCCCCGACCCACATCCCGCGTGTGGCAGCGGCTTGCAGCGCCAACTTTTTTGAAGTGGCCGTAGCTGTGTTAGAAGGCTCAAGGCACATGCTTTCGACTGGAGTGACTCCCGCCGCACGGCATCAGTATCTTGCCTCTAACTCAACCCAATCATGTTGTGGGCACCTATCCCGAGAAAGGCAGTCATTACTTGTTCCGTTGCGGAGATGCTCCTTTGCTAATTTGCGGTACAACATTCCCCTTTCCTAATCACGAATCCCCTGGGGGCTTGACCTTTGAGCACGGGGAGGCCAATCGTTATGGCCACAAAGCTAGAAGAAAGCACCGATGTGGGCAGTTTAGTGTTCCAACAGCAACTAAACAGCTCCGCAGGCTAGCCAGGGATTTCAATGGAAATGGATGAAAATGTATGCAAGAGCTTTCCTTGCGCTGCGCTGCTAGCTCTTTTCGACGGTGGCAGACATGTGCTGATTCATCATGATATCGTCACTTTTGATGGACAGCGGGCAGCCAGCGGGTGACGGGCAGCTCGGGAAACGGCCCTTGCTGAGAGAGCCACAGAAACAGAGGGCTCTACCGACCCGTTTAGCATCTAGTTGTTCGTCCAGAATTTTTGCATGGAGGAACAACTGGCAACAGCCAACCGACTTCAACTATTTAACCGTCTGACATGCCTTCGCGGGCACAGAACACGTTGCTATGCACTGACGCTCCCTGCGGGAAAATCGCGATGAACCACAAGCCGGCTTAGGAAGGCAGATTCTGCAGAAGGCTGCGGCAGATTGATGGTAAGGCATCTGATAAGGCAGAAGCCCAGATTTATCGCGCAAGGGGATCAAGTTTGTTTATTTTTCCCCCAGTCGAATTCTTTAAGGCAGCACCCGGCTCTTCGCGGTTCTTTCGGTGAAGGCATGAAGGCGCCGAAGCTAATGAGCCGAACCCTGGGGCGACAATCAAGAAATGCTAAAGCTGCCAAAATGTTGATGCCCCTGCGCCCCGCCTCCGCTGGATTCTTCAGGCCGGCATGTGAAGAGGGCCGAGCCCCGCAGTTTTTGGTCATGCGAAGGCGCAGAAGCACAGATCCAGGCTTCACAACAATGGGGGATGCAAAGGTTCTGGAAGGCGTGGTCCGGGAACTAAAGTAACTAAAGGAGCCTTTCTGTGCGGGGTCTACGGGGGGTCCACGAGAGGTCCACATAGGGTCAGGCTATATGCAAAGTCGCTTCCAAAGAAAGGCTGCCTCAGGGATCCAAGTGGAATGTGCATAGAACAGAGGCTGTGGAAGGTTTGCTAGGTGGTTTATAATCAGTCCCGATAGTGAAGGCAGAGAACAGAGAAAAGTACTCTCAGATCTCTCAGCCTCGTTGCGTGCCTTAGGCTGCAGGGGCTATTGAGGCCTGGGTGGGTTTTACCAGATAGCACCATGGCATACGGAGCATTGTGGTGCATGAGCATTTTCTAGGAAGCCATCTTGCTGTTGCCTGCGTTTCCCAGTGACTTGGGGATTGGCACCACGAGTGCAATGTGAGGTCTCCGCGCAGAACCTGGGTCAGTGCATTTTGTAGCCAAGTGTACGAAGTCCATCCTGTCCCCTGTGCTATCATGCTGGCGCCGAGTCCTAGCGATGACGCTCATGCGAAGCGCCGGGAGGTGCACCAGAAGACCCGGTTGTGCAAGTTCTTCACGATGGGAGCCTGCACACGTGGCTCGAGCTGTGCTTTTGCTCATGGGCCCGAACAACTACGAGATCAGCCAGATTACTCGAAAACCCGGCTTTGCGCGGACTTTGTCCAGAGAGGACGCTGCAGTCGTGGTCAAGCTTGCCCTTTCGCACATGGTAGGAATGAGCTTCGGCCAGGGTCGGCGGCCAAATTGGGCAGACCAGCACGCTCTCCCAGACCTGGGGGCATTGCGCCGAGAGCCGAGGAAACGGATGCCGTGGCTCTACGCGCCCTTCAAACACTGCGCATGCAGCAAGCTCTTCATGAGCAGGCTGCCTTGAAGCTGATGCTATGCTCGGCTGGCGCGCGACCTTCGCCCCAGTGTACAGGCAAAACGGATACTTTTCCTCCCGAGACGCAGACATTCAGCCGCCAGACCACTTGGGAAGGCGTGGAGACAGATCCCACAAATTTCAGCCGAGTTTCATCGGCTACAAGCAGCGCGTCTGAGACGGTTTCAGTGTCAGCTGTTCCAAAAGACGTCGAGGTGCTGGTGAAAAACACGTTCATTGAGGTGAAGGAGGACCAGGATGAAGATCAGGATGTGAGCATCCGCAAGACACGCTCCCTTCCTGACTTGTGTGATCTTGAGTAGGGGGCCCGGTTCGGAAGTTGCATGATTTTTCTCGCCTACCAAATGGCACGTCCAGAATTTTATAAGGCAGCGCGAGGCCAGGATGGCGCTTAGAATCGCTAGGCCTTTGCAGCGCCTGAACTTTTTATAACCCGCCATGGCCTTCCTTAGGCTTGGCTCTCGAAGCCATGCCCGGAATGCCATAGAGTGCCATCACCTTCTCCGAGTGGGTCAGAATTTTTGAAGACTCTTGCGTTCCAGCACATTCCGGAGCGCAAGACCCTCGGAGGTGTCAAACAAGAACAGGTGTACAGGCCCAGACAATGTCTGTAAGAATGCTGCAAGTAACTGAAGTGCTTTAAGGACCCCCTGCTGATGTGAGGCCATTCTTGAGTGACGTTGAGTATTGAGCCTCATGCGAGCAGAATTCTACTTTGCAGCTGCCCGCAGACTATCTGCGCATACCTGCACGACAGGCGAGCTTCTTCTGCAACGGAAAGCTATGTTGGCGGTTAGGATTTGGCATGCTTTTGTTGCGTCTTGCAGGAAGTCGCCCCCCTTAGCAAGTCTTGCCAGCCCCTAGCCCAGGCGGCAACCGCATAACTTAGATGAAGGCAAGCTTAGGCTTCGCCCTCCCCCCCCCCCCCCCTAAAGCCACTGGGGTGTTAAGTGTTTGATGCGGATGCTGCAGGAAGATGAGCAAGTTCTTTTTAAACAGGGCCACCTGCGCCCACAATAGGCGCACCAAGCCTATGAAGGCAGTGCGAGAGCTGGCGCAGTGCGAACAAGTTTGGGACCTCAATGCCAGGTGTGCCCTGCACAGCTCTTGACTGCGTGAACTTGTTGGGTCCTGAAGAATAAAATCACGAGGAAGTTCCGTCTGCTGGGTGCTCTCGCGCCAAGCAACCGGCTGTCATGCAGCCAGGTGCCCGATCGGTCAGTGTTCAGCCTGAACTGTCCTCTTCCCACCCCACACAGAAGACGAAACTTGAACTCTATTGAGTAGGTTGCCTCAAAGACGCAAAGTAGAGGAAGCGCTCTTGGCTTCAAGGTCTCGCTGCAGAGGCCCTCAATTTGGGGTTCGCGGGCGGCCCGGCAGCACAAGATTGCCAGGCGGGAACGGCGTTGCATGCATTCCAGCGTACAACATGTGCAGGCATTCACTCTTGGATTGGCAATTTGGAGAGGTTCTACAGAACCAGCTTGATTACCGCAGGGCCTGCAGCCAAGCATGGACGGATGCCTCTGATGTCGCGCAGTGCAGTCAGAAGTTCAATGAGGCTCGTTGTGGCGCTCCTTACCGTGGCTCTCTGTGTGGCTGAATGACGCTGGGGCAGCAGAGAATTGTTGTCAAAGTCCTCGCACCATCTGGCACGCATGCAGACTGCAAATCTGGGCATGGGTTGGTTTGGCTTACGACGTGGTTCGGTTATATTTCAAGATATTTCAAGGTCCGGAGGCATGACTGCTTGCTAGGCTGGCCCGTGATTAGATGGGGGCAACAGACTGAGGCTGCGCTGTGACGGCTGGGCCAGAGGTGACTGGCGCGGATGCAGGGTGCCCAGATCGATGAAAGCAGTCACATGAACCCCTATGTAGACTATTATAATATATATACATATATGTACTGTATTGTATATATTATCATTAAATATACATGTATATAATATAAATAATAACAATAAGAATGATAGTAATAATAATAACAAACACAAATGTGTATATATATATATATATATATATATATATATATATATCGCAGATGCTGGTGCAGGACGCTCTGTCTCTAGAGGAGGAGCCATGGCAATGTCAAGCATGCTGTGGGATGAGATTTCTCAAGATGTTCTTCCAGGAGTTGCCCCCCGAGACATTGTCCGAGCGGGTGCGCCGAGTCCAACAACAATGGAGCCTCTTTCGTGCGGGGCGCTTTGTGCTGGCTGTGGAGTTGCATCGGGATCAACCCCGTTGGCAACTTAGTCGTTGTTGAGGCGACGCTGGTCCAGGAGTACGAGCCTCTGAGCTCAGCAAGGGATGTTGTGGACAACCGCCCAGCCAGTGCAAGGACGTACACTCTCTGCACAGCGTCCTGGCCACGTAACTAACTTATCACTAGCAGAATGCTGTCGTTCGTTTGCGAGGGGTTGACAAACATGTAAGATGCACCGGCTAGGGTTGCAATCGCCTTGAGTTCCAATGTCTTCGATAGTGTTTGTAGTCAGTTCCTTGCAGCAGAGCTTTCGCGATCTTGTTTTGCCTTCAGAGTCCCGAAGCCAAGAACAAGAAACCTTTCCGCCTGCGCAGGACTGGCAGATTAGTTGGCGCATTCTGACCTCCACTGGCGTGAGCTTGTTCCACCAAGCAGCCTGCGAGTCTCGTTTGAATAGGTTTCACCAGAAGATGCCAATGAAGCACGGAATCGTGCTGCATCAGAAGAGAAAAAGGACACCAAGCATCATTCTCTTGCCACATGGCGGTATCATTGTGGGTCGTGCTTGAGTTCCAACCGGTGGCTGGACCATTTCGCCTTTTTACGTCCGATTTTTCATGAGACTGGCTTACATGTGTTACATGAGAACCAAGCGAGGTAGTTCAAAGTGAA